TTGCTAGCCAGAGACCTTCTCCATTACAAACACATCCACTAGTCCAAAGCACGAGAACTTGTTCCCATATTTACTTTCTGGCTCCTCAGACACAGTAAATGAATAAGTGAAGTGAAAGTTCTCTTGTGGTTTGTTGTGATGAGCTCTGGTGCATCTGATTTAAAGCAAACAAACTATGGTTGTCAGTGCTGAGTAATAGCTTGTATCGTTTCCTCATTGCACTGTAAAGAATATGGAGTCAACACTTAGCAAAAGACTCCCTGAAATGAATTCACTGACTGTAATTTCTGGGGCCTACTTTAGCAGTGTCCCTGACAAGTGTACGCTGTGTTTATTACAAGCCATAGCATTACTAGAATATTAAACAGTGATGTTTTACACATGGCATATTTTTCTCATGTTGAGTGAGATGTTGCCTCTGCTTTGTTAATACCTTCTGTAATGTTTTTCCTGCTGTTTAGGGGCTCCTATCATAATGTCTTCACCACACTTCTACCAGGCAGATGAGAAATTTGCTCAGGATGTATTCGGAATGACGCCAAACAAGGAAGAGCACCAGACTACCATTGATATCAATCCGGTAGGAATCACAACTTTAAAGCTTAAATGTTTAATTCGTTCTCATGTTGTTGTGAATCTCTCTTCAATTTAAAATACATATTTTGTCTAATACAATTATGATTTATATAGTATTTTGAAAATTTGTAAATCTTCAACACTAGATGGAGTAGTGTCTCAGCTTTTTTTTTGTCACGACTAGCCAATAGTTGAGCTTCTGTTTAAAATAGTGGTTAAAAATTAAATCAGAAGTACGTGGTACGGGGCTGTCACAAAAGATAAGCTCTAACTGCTCTTATCATGATAATAATACTCTAATTACCTGGTTGAACTTGTAGTAAAGTCTTGATAGCGAGAGACAGACTGAAAAAAACACCTCCAACAGCACAACGTGTAGCTGAACATACTGTGTAGTGCTTAACAAATGTATTAGACCACCATCCAATGTACGATTTATGCCACAGCAGCCAAAAATTAACAATTGCTATATGATATAATCTTCTGATTTTATTTATTTATTTATTTTTACACATTTTACATGATACACTTTCAGAGAAAACAGAAAAAAATGATAAATGATTCTGTAATAGTTAAAAGTTTAAAAAAAAAAAAAGTGCAATTCCCAAAAATAAATAAACTGTATTACATTCACAATAAAAGACAGAAAGCATTCTTCTTCTTCATGATGCTCCAGATGTTTTCAGTTGGTTTACAGCTGTTGTGATAGATGCAGTATGGAGTTTAGTATTGTCTTGCAGAAATATGGCAGTTCTTCCCAGACAAGATTAGAGCATATGTTAATGTAAAACCTGTGTATAGCTTTATATATGGCTTCCATGGGCACTGATGCACTCCCATGCCATCAGAGATGCAGGCTTCTGAACTGAACACTAATTTACAAGCCAGATGGTCCCTCTCGACTTGAATCTGGAGGATGCAGCGACCATGTTTTCAAAATTTAAGAGAAAATACTTTTTTTTCTTCTTCTTTTTTTGTCACACCACAGAGATTTCTCCAGATTTTCTGAGTCTTTTGATCATGTTATTAGATGATGAGATACTTAAAGTCTTAGCATTTTTACATTGTGCAATATTTTTCTGATTTTTGTTCACAATTTGCAGATGCGATATTTCGCAGATTGGTGTACCTCTGCTCGTCTTTACTGCTCCGCCACTCTTAAGATGCTCTTTGTACACCAGTCTGACCAGTCTAACACAGAACTCTTTCTTACATTTGCTCTCATGCTTTCGTACAAAAGTACATGTAATTATTTCACACACCCACATATAAAGTGGTGGTTTTACGGTTACAAAAGTATTGAATCCAATAAACAAGCTACCGTTTTTCCTGTTTATCCTTCTTGATCACTCTGCCACGACATGATATCATTAAGATTGATCAAAGTCCTGTGACTTTTATCATAACTGCTGGGTTGTGATGCCCTCAGCCATCTTCCCTGCCAGCTTCAGAGCTGTGAAGTTATTTTTGCCTACAGTAAAGATATTAAAACTACAGGCAGTACTATGCAAACAGTTGGGGTAACTTTATATAAATACATGATACATCCTGAGATTTTTTTCTCTCTTTTAAGTTTTTCAAAATGCAGAAAACTGAAGAAAGAAATGACTAAACTCCCAATTAGGTTTATTTGACAGCTGACATGTCTCACTGTCTTCCGCTTTTTCACATAATCTCAGATTAACTCAGTTTATTTCTTTTCTTTTCACTGAAGTTACCTTTTTATCACTCCAGCTGTATGTGTTTGAGGCCATTCTCAAGCTGCATGAGGAATCTGGGACAGAGCACATGCCTCCCTGATGGTATTATGTAATGGATGAAAAATCTACTGTACCTAACTAAAAACCTTTGCATAGTTCTGTGTTTTTCTATCCAGTGGTTTGTTGGTTTACAAATAATGTCAACATGTTACTATAAAGATTATGGCCATAATACAGTGTGGACAGAAAACAATTATTTAGGTGTTTAGGTATACGTGTTCATACATCAGGAGTGACAGGAGTTTTTCCCACATTCTCTGTGTCCCTAACAAAATGAATTTGTGTTTTACAGCTAACAGGAGTGGTTCTTCAAACAGCCAAGCGACTCCAGATTAACGTCTATGTAGAGCAAATTCCCACCTTCAGGTAATCAGCAGCTCTTTCCGTCAGTTCAAGCAGCTGAATAACCTGATTTTTTTTTTTTTTTATGAATTTCACTTTGACTATATTAGTATGAAGAGTGAAGCTGTAATAGCTGCATGAGTACCCATGTGTGTGAAGGGCTACCAGTAAGCTAATTGTAAAGCAATAATGCCACCATCATCATTATGGGTGGACTTTTGCACAGACCTGGCTCACTTGTTACGTGCTTATCTGAATTCAGAAGGAACTAGCAGCAAGATAATGAGACTGTATGTGTTTAGATAGTTACACATTACTGTTATTTTTATTTGAAATAAGATAAAATAACAAAAGCTATATTAAAGTGGCGAGTCTCAGCTTTAATGTGAGTAGGTTTACATCAATATTTTAAAATGTATAAGGTTGGAGCCCTCAAGACAACATTAGTGGCCAGAATTTATTATACTGAATAATGTCTGTTAAACGTACTGACATCAGTAGATAATTGGCTCTGGTTATGAGGTTTGGCTTTTTTTATGTACAAGGAAACACATTGGCCTACATCCTGGAGAATATTTGTAATTTGCCATAGAGTCATGAAGGGGCCTTTCATTTTGCTTTCATCTACAAGATTTGTGCTCTTCTGTCCACCAGGCTATTTTGGATCTGTCCTGTGTATGCCTTCTGCTTTTAGAATATACCTCTTTATTTTTGGCAAACTAACTTTTGCGAATCCATCCATTTTGTTCCGCTTATCTGGCGCCAGGTCGTGGGGGCAGGAGCCTAAGCAGAGAAGGCTAGACCTCCCTCTCCCTGGCTACCTCCTCCAGCTTATTTGGGGTAAAACCAAGGCGTTTCCAGGCCAACTGAGAGATCTAATCTCTCCAGCGTGTCCTGGGTCTGGACATGCCAGGAACACCTCACCCAGGGGGGATCTTTGTCAGATGCCCGAAACACCTCAACTGCCTCCTTCCAGTGTGGGGGAGTAGCAGCTCTACTCTGAGCCCCTCTTGGATGGCCGAACTCCTCACACTATCTCTAAGGGAGAGGGCAACCACCCTTTGGAGAAAGCTAATTTCTGCTGCTTGTATTTACGACCTCGTTCTTTCAGTCACTACCTAAAACTTGTGACCATAGGAGAAGGTGGGAACGTGGATGGACCAGGAAGGAGGAGTTTCCCTTTTATGCTCATCTCTCTCTTCACCACGATGGATCGGTACAGCGTCCGCATCACTGCAGCCGCAACATGAACTTTTGTATCATTCTAATAGATTTTTATTCTCATTTTCATTTGCACAGTCACTTTATTTATGATTCGGAATGACAGAAAACTCTTAACGTCAAGTAAGCTAACTGTAGGTGCTGTAGTCTCGAATGGGTGCTACACAGTCCACACTTACTTTTGTGAATGCAACAACCACAGTGTTGTGCATTACAAAGAAAATGATGCCAGTCAGTGAAGCAAACCTCTTTAAATTCTCTTTCTTCACTGTAGTTAAACTCGGATAATAAAAGTATTTATGCTGTTGGTAAAAAACTGTTCAAATCTACTTTTTTGGGGCAACCGTGGCTCAGGGGGTTGGGAAGCGCATCTGTAACCGAAAGGTCGCCGGTTCGATCCCTGGTCTCTCTGTCCTGGTCGTTGTGTCCTTGGGCAAGACACTTTACCCTACTGCCTACTGGTGTTGGCCAGAGGGGCCAATGGCAGCCTCGCTTCTGTCAGTCTGCCCCAGGGCAGCTGTGGCTACAACCGTAGCTTGCCTCCACCAGTGTGTGAATGTGAGAGTGACTGAATAGTGGCATTGTAAAGCGCTGTATAAATCCAATCCATTATTATTATTTTTTCCCATGGAACAAATGCTCATAAGCCCCCAGTAACTGAGGCTCAGAAATCAGTCTCTGGTCGCTAGGGAAAAATTAGTTTTTCCTGCTTGGATGACGAGCAGTTCCTGGAGGTTGCTCGGGGTTGCTGTGAAATAGATTGCAAAATCTTTAGACAAGTAAAAGTTGTGCCTTACTGCAACACACCAGCATGTTTCAAAAGGTGAGGCTTTTACTTTAAAGTAGTGCTGCCAGCGTTAATCTTGTTAAAATGATGTTAACGCCATAACTGCATTAACGTGGCAAATCTCAGTTTGCGAGTTAGCGCGGATCACCCCGTGCGCGGGGCTGTACAGTACTAACGCGTTGACGAGCTAACCGCGCTAACTCACACTGTTTCTAATTTCACTACCACTTAGCAAGTATTTGGTGAGTGTTTTGCACACGAGTTGGTGCAAACTACAGGCAGCTGCTGCTATCTGCTAGCAGCAAAAGCACTCACAATGGTGAATACTTTGGTCAGAGAGAGGCTGCCCCTGTCTCTGAGGCCTAAGGGAGTAAATATAGAATCTAACTTATAAACAGAACTGATGTTGGGGCTGATATCAGTAAAATCTTATCAAATTCAATCCCTAGCCAAGCGTCGGCTCTTTTGTGCAATATTGAACTTTGAAAGGAAAGTTTGTGCAGTTCTTATGATGCCAACAAGCCTAGATATGGCACTTTTATGTTATATCTGTTATTCTGTTTCAAATTAAAGGTGCTAGAGACGGAGCTTGAAGTCCAAAAATAAATTATGTAACTCTCCAGATAATTTATGGTGTGATACGTAATCAAGCTTTATACAGATAGTATGTATTTACAGAACATGCCCGGGAAGATATTGTATAAGTATATTTATATTACACAAGTATATTATATTGTGTTTTCCAAATTGCTATTTTTCATTACATCATAGTTAAAGATTATCATGTCATTTTCTTTCAGTCAAACGGGAAATGTAAGGACAGTAGTCTTCCCTGTGGCTTATCTGAATGAGGTATAAACTCTCTCTTTCTCTCTCACTCACTCACTCACTCACTCACTCACACACACACACGTACGTGTGGTTTCCCTAGCAACTTACCCTAAACCTAACCTAATTGTAACCCTGACACTAAAACCACATTTTGAGTCTCAAAAATGCCTTCAAACTCATGGGGACTGGGATTTTGGTCCCCAAAAGGGCTGTCGGTCCCCACAAGTAAAGTAAACTTCCAATTTTTGGTCCCCACAATGATGTTAATACCCGTACACACACACACCACAAAAGCTGTCTGAGCTCTGGTTTATATACATTTTCTGTTATAACTCTCAGTTAAATACAAATGATTCAAAGGGAAAAGACTCCCTTGAGTACCCTGTAGTTAAAGGAGGCATTTTTGTTTTCAGTATGTACCTCGTGTTTTTCTCTTTTATGTATTAAAGTATTGTGTAATCCTGCTCAGACAAACTGCAAATTAGTAAATCTAACTTGTGTGGAGGCAAAAAAAGAAAAATATAGAGGTAGATACTATGATTCCACAAAATCAAAGCTACAGAAGACTAATCTAATATAAATCACTAATCAGTAAATTTAATATTACTTGTTTATAAAATTCTTATGGTCTCAGTTTCTTCATAAACTTGAACACAAAGATGAACAGACGGTAAATGAAAGGGCCGTAAATGTACCATTTACGGGCTGTGTTTTGTGTTCTTATGTGCTACAACACAATCTTTTCTCTTACCGTCTTAACAGAGCGCCACCATTGATGACACAGCAGCCAAGAAGCTAAAGGCGATTGGTGTTCAGCAGAACGTTGTGGAGAACATTCCCTTCATGCTGATTGGCCTGGCCATCATTGTGGGAGGAATCTTCATGTTCTTGGTGTGTCAACAGAGAGTCCCCGAGGTGAGCTTGTGCAATAAGCAACTGTGTGATGTCATTATGTTGGGACAGATGGCCTGAGCCTGGTTCTGCCAAGTGCTTGCTCATACAGGATGGCTCATTTTTTTTTCATTCAGATTTATGATGGTGTGTGTGGTCAATTTAAAATAATCAAAAAAATAGTTCAAATAAATTGATTTATTTTTCATTATGAAGCACCCTAGATTAGTCCACAACATGCCCCAAAAGCCCTATAAATGCTCAAGAAAATAAACGTAGAAAATACAAATCAAACCTGTTTAATTAATGCTATACTGTGCTCCACTCTAAAGAACTACAAACTACAAAAAAACCCAAAACGAATTAACTGAAATCAGTTAATGGGTGAGTCTATTCAAATTAGGGATGCCTCGATTAGTTGACGTAATCGTGACTAGTCGAGCCCCACTGCCATCAACAATCATGCAATGTTCAAAGTCACTCGAATCAACTTTTGCCCCCCTTTTGATGTTCAGTTTGAACTTCAGCAGCTAATCAATTGCTGCCGTGTGATTGTGTGAATGTGTAAAGCGCTTTGGGGTCCTTAGGGACTAGTAAAGCACTGTACAAATACAGGCCATTGTCTGATTAGATATTTAGGTATTTGGATCATCTGCCTCCATCTGACCTTATCCTTAGCATTCTCTCCTGTCACACCAACCCTCTGCATGTCTCTTCTACATTATATCCTTGTGTGCGGTTTCGCTCATTTCCTCCTGCCTGGCAGCTCCATCTTCAGCATCCTTTGTCCAATATCTCCGCTACCCTTCCCCTTTAAATGTCCAAATAATCTCAGCCTCGCCTCTCTAACTTACCTTAAACTCATTCCCCCTAATTAGCTCTACTTCTTGCATCTTTATCGATCTATATGCATCTGTCTCATTCATACACATGCATTTTGTCCTCTGTGAATTTAAATCCCTCTTCTCTCCGTTGCATATCTCCACCGCTCCAGGATCTCTTCCATCTACTCCTTACACGCATGTCCTGAACAACCCTCACATACTTCACTGCCATTCCTGACTTACTCACACAGCAGCACAGTTCCTCTCTCAGTACTTTAAATTGTAATATATTTGCATTTTATATATATTTTTTCATATCTTTCTTTTTCAGAGCACTGCTGCCGAACGACAGCCCCTGCTCTCATCGTAACAGCAAACAGAACGTGGAAAGAGGAAGATTGCCTTGGTTGCAATACAATTCAAGGGGTTCACCCATTAATTCTCAAGTAACACTAATACAGTGGTTTTCATATTTTAATCTATTTTCGCATTCATGGTTTTAAGAAAGTGGGAAAAACTGTCTTTTTGTTGTGTTTGTTGCTGGGTTTGGAGGATAATGTCTTCATTTCAAGTTGTAATGATGCTGAAATCCAGATTTCCCAGTCAATCTTAAATTTAGCTTGTTTTTATTTTAACTCCTAACTATGGGATTTTTGAATTGGATTAACATGAGGTTAGTTAACCTCCTTAAACAACCCAGATTTGAATTAATCAAACATCTTGGAAGTGGGAAAACACTGTACTGCAAAGTGGCCATATATGTGTGAGCTGTTGCTGCATTTCTGAATATAAAAGACATTGTGTCTATCTATAAAGCAACTGGCTAGAGCTTGAACAGTTACTAGATTCCCAGACTAGTTTGGGAGTCAGAGTTAGTTTTAAAAAGCAAGAAAAAACAGTATTAAGAAGCCAGGTTGGTTGTATGTTAAAATCAAGTGGATGTAAAAAGTCGGGTTAGTAGTGCAGCCTGTTCAAAGTGCAGATTACTTTGGGCTTGTCTTTCAGCCTTTTGGCTTCAGATGCTATGGCGATGTGGTCTTGTTCATTTTAAAATGATGTTCTGTGTCGTAGCCAAGCTCAGTAATCTACAGTGTATATTAGGGCTGCCACGATTAGTCGACTAGTCACAACTAATTTAATAGTCGACGCGTCGTTTGAAGCTTTGTAAGATCCCAAAAGACGCAGGAATAAGTAGTAGGATTTAAGAGTGTAATAAC